ATGAAGGTTTGCGAGAAAATAAAACCTCAAATGGTGACTTTCCAGAAGAAAATGAATTAAAATTCTGTTAATGAGATAAGTTGCAGTTAAAACACAATTACCCCAAAAAGAAATTGGCAGATTTGCTTGAAAATGAAGTGCTCTAGCTACTTTCAAAAGGTGTTGAAGTTTCCTTTCCACAACCCCATTTTGTTGTGGTGTGTCAACACAACTCAATTGATGAATAATGCCTTTAAAAGAAAAAAAAAGTAATCATGAAAAATTCTTGACCATTGTCAGATCTAATAACTTTGATTTTGGCATTAAATTAAGTTTCTACTAGAGTATAAAAAGACATTAACAAAGACTATGTTTCAGACTTAGTTTTCATGAGGTATACTAGAGTATAAAAAGACATTAACAAAGACTATGTTTCAGACTTAGTTTTCATGAGGTAAACCCAAGTACACCTAGTAAAATTATCAACAATTGTAAGAAAGTAATATGCTCCATTTATAGAAGGAGTGGGGTAAGGTCCCCAAATGTCACAATGGATGATTTCAAAAGGAACAAATGTTTTACTAGTGTTGATTGGAAAAGACAACCTATTATGCTTAGCATAATGACAAATGCTACAATGAGTATCACTAGAATTTGAAATTTCAGGAACTGTTCTTTGTAAAAAGTCTAGTAAATGCCATAGATGTGAAGATACATCTATGTTACATTGAATAGAAGAAACAACATAAACTTTATGTGGTTTTGATCTCTGCAGAAAATGCAATCCTCTTCTATCTTTGCCTATCCCAGTTGTCCTCCATGTTAACAGGTCTTTTATGAAACAATGACCATGAAGAAATAGAAAACAACAAGAAATTTGTTGTGTTAGTTTGCTAGTGGAGACAAGATTGTACTTGAAGGAAGGCACACAAAGAGCGTTAGTCAATATTAGGGAATCAGAAAATCTGACTGTGCATGTATGGGTTACAACAACAAGACTACCATCAAGTAATTTGACAGAGGTATGAATGACATAAGACACAGTGGATAAAGAGAACATGGAGCAAACAATATGATATGTTGCTCCAGTGTTAATTATCCATGGGGATGAGGAAAAATAAGGAAAATCATGCCTCAAAGAGTGCAAGGTACTTAGAACTTCACCTGACATGTTGAAAAGAGACTCCGTATGAGAACTGGTTACTTGATTTGCTGAAGGTGGATCATGAAGATGAGGCTATGACTTAAGGAGTGTCAATAATGATGAACTTGTCCTTGTGTTATTGGCAAAGATGAAGAAACCTCTCTGTTGCCTTCATTTATAACCAAACTTTTTGCTTCATTTTGACTATTTCTTGCCATCTAATTTACAGATTTGGAATTGTTCTTTCTTTTTGTAAATCGAAATCTAGGAGGATAGTCATGGAATTTGTAACATTTATCAACAGTGTGACCTTGAATTCCACATCGAGCTTGATTTGCCGAAATTCTGTTGATTAGATGAATTAGATTTGCTTAAGAGAGTTATAGAATCAGCAATAGGAAGACCTGAGAAAACTATCTCTCTTTGTCAGTCCTCTTGAAGAATGAGATAAAACACTTTGTTGATAGATAGAAAGGGATCTTGTAGCAAGATTTGACTTTAGATGTGAGAGTATGAATTATTCAAATTCAATCCCATCAAGAATTGAATTTATGTAATCTTGATATTAAACATTTGCTAAGGTTTTTAGAGCATCTCATGTACAGACTGACAAGGGCCTATAGTTCATTAATTCATCCCAAAAGCCTTTGAGCTGAGTATAATAAAAACTTACAGAGAGTTGCTCTTGTTGAAGAGAGGACATCGATTTCTGTAACTAGTAGATCCGTGGTCCATTAGTCTGAGAGAACCTTTCCTTGAGTTCTTTCCAGATTTCTTCTGCTGAATTGACATAAAGAACACTTTTAGTGATCTCTTTTGACAATGTGTTGAGAATCCAAGATATCACCATATTGTTGCATCTAATCCATGGATTATACAAAGGATCCTTCTGATCTGTTGGCTTTGAAGATGTGTCATCAATGAATCCAACTTTGTTCTTAGCACTCAAGGACATAAAACATTGATCCACTCCAAGACTTATAGTTGTCGCTTGCCAAAGCTTGAGAAACCAACAAGGCACTTGGACTATCTCCATGATGGAGATAAAAAGGATGAGAGAAATCCTCAATCAAAATTGAGGAACTGGATTGTGGACTTGGGATAGATGAATTTGATGCCATTGGAGAAACAAATAACAGAGGAAACTTGCTAAAAGAGCTCTAATACCATGTTAGAAAATGAAGAAGAAGATATCACAGAGAAATAGGGAGAGAGATGGAGATGGAGACAAAATAGTATTCTCGTTGAATTGAAAAGACAATTGCAACCACTATTTATATACAAAACTAAATTAAATATCCTAACAAACTTCTTTAGTGGCCAATGATATGCTATGATCAGTGGAGGCATCCGGTGGGTTGAGTTTCAATGGTGCGATAGTGGGTTTGTTGTTATAGTGTGTTTTGTGCTTGTGAAAGAGGGTTGAAGAGGGTTTTGATTGGGGTTAATCTCATTTTACACCCTAAAAAAATGTTTGAATTTTAATTTACACCCTTAAAGATATAAATTTATATCAATATGTACCCCAAAGATAAAAAATCTCAATTTGTACCCTCAAAGATAGAAAATTATATCAATGTGCACCCCAAAGATAAAAAATCTCAATTTGTACCCTCAAAGATAAAAATTTGTATCAATGTGCACCTAAAACTAAATTGATAAGTTATACCTAGATCCTCTCATACTTGTCACTTAATCATTTAGACCTCTTCACATTTAGAATATTACTCCTACATCTTATGATATTTGTGCACGTATAACACGTAACTCATTTTCATTGATATCTATTAATATAACCGTTAAAAAATATAATTTTATCCTAATAAAAAATTATAATTTCATATTACCATTTATTTTATGGGTTCAATATATTTTAAAGTTCAAAATCTAGTTTACCATTTGAATGTCTAATAAAATATAAATATTTATATAATGTTTTTCATATTATCTTTTATATAAATATCTACATTTTATTAGACATTCAGATGGTAAGTTTGATTTGCAACTTTAAAGTATATCGAATCCATAAAATAAAAAGTAATATGAAATTATAATTTTTTATTAGAATAAAATCATATTTTTTAACGATTATATTAACATATATCAACGAAAAGTGGTTTATGTGTTACACATGCACAAACGTCATGAGATGTAAGAGGAATATTCTAAATGTGAAGGAGTTCAAATGATTAAGTGACAAACATGAGGGGATCTAGAAATAATTTATCAATTTAATTTTAGGTGCACATTGATACAAATTTCTATCTTTGAGGGTGTAAATTGAGATTTTTTATCTTTAGAGATGCACATTGATATAAATTTCTATCTTTGAGGGTGTAAATTAAAATTTTTGATTTTTGAGGGTGCAAATTGAGATTTGAACAATCTTTTAGGATATAAAATGAGATTAACCCTTTTGATTGAGACCAAATAAATGACGAGAAAGAGAGAAAGAGAGAGTCATACCCAGAAGAAAATCTGTTGCCTTCTTCACCGTGGATGAGAAGGGGAAATAATGGGAGTGAAAGGGGTAAAAAAACCTAGAAATTTACCGTGCAACGACCTTTTTAAAAATTACAAGTGTATCCCGTTGACATAATTTTAGTCCCATCTGATCCATGAGTTTCATATATCCGGTTTATATGGGATATTTGCCATGAATTCATACGGCCCAATGAATTCACGCCCAATAATTATCCCACCTATTTTAACAGACCCAAATTAGGGATATGTGGGACCCTAGGATAATTTAAGTCCAATCCCCCATGTTATCTGCCTTTATCTCGTTAAACAAACACCCCCTAACAGTTATTTCAACAGGACTACGAATGAATATGACACACCACACCTGTATGTTGTTCTCTTTTCTTGATATAACCATTTTAGTGGCCAAAAACAAAAAAGTCCCAATGTTATGTCGATTTTAGTCATCAATAACCACCTATAAATATATTCAAACCACCTAAATTATCTCTTAATTTATTCTCTATCGAAGCTACCTCCATGGGCGGAGCTATATAGGTTAAACTTTTAAAAAAAAAATTATATGTATATTTATGTTTATATATATATTTTTTAAAAATTATGCATATATTTTTTACTCGTGCCTACGCTATAATTTTCATATTTCAATTATTTAGTCATTTTTAATTGTATTAAGATTTTCTCCAAATAGCCTTAATTTTATTATTTATGAATTTTGGCAAGTAAAAAGTTCTTGTAATTGACATTCATTTAACTTTTTTTTTCCAATGAGAAATCATTTCTATATTTGAGTATTGATTATAATCATTATTATGTGTCAATCGATTTTTAATTTTTTTACTATGTTTAACTTTTAAATTTTAGTTTAATAGTTTTAGCATGCTAATATTTCAACGATAATATTTGGCACATCGTTTATTGAAAAAATTTAATGGGTTGTTAGTGAATAATTAGTTTTTTAATTACAAAAAATGATAATTAACTCCAATTTATTATAATTGTGATAATCATCATTTTTTATACATATACAATACATATTATTTTTTAGCATTTTTTATGTTAAATAGACTTCATGTATCAAATATGATATAATAAATATAAATACATTATATAGTTGATTGATTAGGAGAAAAAAAAAATTAGAATGCATATTAAAATGTGCACTCTGAGCAAAATTCCTATCTCTACCCCTAGCTACTTCTATTTTTTCACAGATACGATCATTCTTAGTTTAACCACACACATTTATCTTAATATTCTCATTTTTACCACACTTAATTTGTAAATGTTTTGTTTCTTAATTGTTCAACATTTCATACCATAGAACATAGTGGGTCTTATGGCAGTTCTATAGACCTTTTTTTTTGGAATAGAAAATGGTGTATTTTATTGATTACGGAATATCATAGAGAAAAAAAGGCATTAAACAATTCGGAGCTCTCTCCTTCCAAACGAAAACACTTTCAATAAATATCACTTGCTTGGCTAGACTAAAAGCCACTCTATTTTCATTTGTCTGAACCATAGTTATCTTGTAATAACAAAACTCTTGCAGCTCAGACATCACATTTCCCAAATTTTTGTTCACCAAACCCATTCTTACTTGAGCTTCCCTTTCCTTGATTGAACATGGAAATTGAATGGAGTCTCCTTCCAAACTGATCTGCAACATTCCTTGATCCCTACAAAAACACATGGCCTCCTTCATAACAATGACTTCAACCCCTATCGCCACCTCCCGGGACTCAACCTTCTTAGCTATCCCTGCTATGAAGACACCCCCTTGATAAAGACCCCAACACCCAAATAATGACCTTCCAAAAGTACAACCCCACAAAAATTAGCTTTCAATAGACCAACTGAAGGTGGTGTCCAAGATGCTAAAATTGATGTTAATGGTCTTCGGATTTCATTGGCCTGCTGAAAGTTTTCTAAGAATTTTCTAGCTTCTTCAACAATGATTGCAGGATTCTTTGACGATCCATAAAAAACCACCTCATTTCCAAATCATCCAACAATGAACAAGAAATAGAGCAATTCATTTGCATCCAAGATATCATGTTTGTCCCTTACCCACTTTTCTGGATTGACTCCAGAATTATAGATCATTCTGTGAAGTGAGCTCGAATTCCACAACAATTTTGCCCAATAACAATCCTGTAAAATGTGTATACTTGGTTTGGTATCCTTTCGGCACATATTACATAGATTGTCCTCCTTGATTTTCCTTCGCCACAAATTCTCGTTTGTAGGCAGAGAGCATCCAAACAAATAAAAATTTTGATTTTATTTGGTATTCTTTGCTTCCATAAAAAAATCCCACTTCACATAACCTCCTACACTAGAAGATTCTTGTTGGGAACTGGGCCCCATATTTAAGAGATTTTGTTCCACTGTAACAAAATAGGCATTATGCACTGAGAAGCTTCCATGTCGATTGTAATACCAAATTATAGTATCTTCAACAAGATGATGTCCCAACGGAATAGATTTGATAACAACTGCTTCATGAGGAAAGAAGGTTTGGTCTATTAGCTGGTAATTCCACCCATGGGAATGAGGATCAATTAGTTCACTCATTGTTGCATCCTCTGGGAACACATGTCCGGCGTAATTATTTTAAACCTACTCGGTGTTGGAATCCAACGATCCTCCAGATTTTAATCTTTCTTCCATCTCCTACTCTCCACCGAGAACCAACTTCTATAACCTTTCACGCATCAAAAATACTACACCACGGATGAGATGGCCTATAAACCCAATTTAGCATCCAAAAAAGAAGAAGAGGGGAAGTATCTTGCTTTCATAACCTTGTGCGGGTATGTTTTTCATGATTTATCCGCCATGCTTCCATGATAATAATGTCAAATTAAAAGCTTTAAGATTCCGAAATCCCATTCCACCCCTTGATTGCTCTTACACATTTTTCCAACTCACCCAATGAATCTTTCTCTCTCCATTTTGTTGCCCCCACCAAAAATTAACTGTCAATGATTCCAATTTTGTACACAGGTAGTTTGAGAACTTAAAACACCCCATCACACAAGTTGGAAATCCTACTATACTCCAGATGTGTTCCTCCATTTAGTACATTCCGTTTTAATTGTATGAGTAACATCGTCATCAATTTCACATTCTCTACGAATAATAAACTCTAAGTACTTAAAATATTTATTTTTCGAAATCTCTTGATCTTCAATTTAAGAAAAATTAATAAAAAAAATTATTGAATGAAAAATAAAAATACAATACCATAAAGTGACTTTCCACAACCATAATTGAACCCTTTATAAAAACATAAACTGAGCATGTAGGAATCATTGCGGGTTAGAATGGGTTGGCTAACGAGTAAGATTTTTTCATTTGAATTTAAAGTGGTTGTATATGAGTTGTTATTTTATATTGCTAATCTCAATTCATCTATATAATAAAATATAATGATCTTGAATTTTTGAGACGAATAGTGGTTGAGATTGTTTCGTGGTCAAAAAAGACGCCTTCCACATACGATATTGTCCCAAATTATCTCAAATTATTGGCGTTTCAAATTATTTTAAAAATTTTAATTCAACGCACCAGGCTGACTATTAAAATTTTTATCCCACCATTAGAATTCCTTTTTTTAAATCCCACCAATCACATTAAATTTAATCACGTTAATAACTTTACATCCCAACCCCACTCAATGCCCTAATCCCCTCCATTTCTCTATTTTTCTATTTCCATTTGTCCCTCCAGATTCCCCCAAGGCAATCCTATTGGCAAATCCAAACCTCTCTCTCTCTCTCTCACACACAAACACACAGACACTAACACGCACAGGCACCACCAACGCAGCCACAACCCTTTCATTTAGCCCCCCATAGTCATAACGAAAGCCCATCCCTCTTTCCTTTCTTTGACAATTTGCCTCCTCCCCTTTTCTCTGGTGTCCAACTCTGTCGACCCACATATTCCAACGATCAACGACTTTGGAAAAACCTCTAAGTTTGGTCTGTCTCTCCTCTTTCTTCTTCTCTTTTTCTTCTGCTGCAACATACACACAACACACAAGCGCACACACAACACACAAACACACACACAACACACAACACTCTCACATCACACAAGCAACACACGTACAGATTCACTCACATACACAGATATTCGCACACGCACACTTCACATGTACACACAGTCACACACGCACACAATTGGATATTTGGGCAACACAGAGCACAAACACTTCACAGATTCATAATAACACACGCTGTCATTTAAAGGTATTTGTGTATTTTGATTTTTTTGAATTGATTTATTGATTAAATATTAGAATTTGTTGTTGGTTTAATTTTTTATTTTTTTGTGTAAATTTTTTTATAGATCTGAATTTTTGGGTCTGGATTGGTATCATGGCATAAAAAACTGGGAATTTTGTTTTGGGGTATTTGGATTGAGTGGTTGTTGAAAGAAAATTGCCTAAAATTTTTGGGTGTAACTGGTAGCCCATTGAAGAGTATGAGACGTAAAGGAGTAGTTTCAAATTATAAATTTCCAACTCTATTTGTTTGCAATTTTGGTTTTCAATTTTGTTTGTTTTCGATTTTTTTTCCATAGTTGGATTTGGATCAAAAAGAAATTGAGTAAAGGGGTTGGATCTTTGTATTCAATTGTTTTAGTTTGATATAATTTTTAGCATAACATTTGGTTGATGAAATGTCCCATGAGTGTCTTCGAATTTAATTAGATCATGTGACGGTGAATGTGCGTCGAGTATCTAGCCTTAAATGTCTCTAATCTCAATTTGGTATGTGCAAGCTTTAATTTTTTCTCTCTATCTTCTATCATCTAATATAAATTCCTTTCTATTTAATTTTCAATTAAAGGTTAATCGATGTTTCGAGTATGGGACTTTGGATAGATATAATATTCGGCTTTAATTTGGGAAGAGTAATTTGGTTTTCGAAATGTTCAGTGCATTCTATGTAAAAGAAATTGAAGGCAGAAGAAGATTTTGAGAATTTTGTTAAGGTCTAGGATAGATTGCTCTATTTTTATTTTTTTGGAAACATTGCCTTTTTTCTTGCATTAGGAAATATAGACCTTTGCTCTCGCTTTCTCTCTCTCTATCTCTTTGTGTTAGGCCTGTTATGTTCTCCTTATTTTTTGAATTAGTTTTGTTCAGATTCTCTCTTTATTCTTTTGTTTGACTGTATATTTTCATATGCATTTAGTCTCTTCAAGGATATCAGTGGATGCTAAACAGGAAAATAGAGTTGAAGGTGGTAGTGGTGGTGTTAACTAGGTAAGATTTATTGATTATGTTTTTATTTAGTTGTGTATATAGGCTTAGGAAATAAGTTTGCGATATCCATTAGATTGAGTATGACAGCTTTCATTGGCATCAAAGGTTTTTTGCTCCATCGGTTTTTAGATCAATTTTCATGTTTTTTGGTTCTCTCTATTGCTAAGTAGAATTGAAGCCTTTGATCCCAACCAACTCTTCCACATTTTCAGTTGCTTGGTTTTGCCTCATGTTTTGATAAATTCGAAATTGATTTCTATTCCTTATATTATTTCCAAGTATATATGTAATGGTGTTTTCTGATGATGTTCCATGTGGGGGATATTAAAGCATTTGATCGCATCAGGCATATATGGTAAACAAGCAGAGAGTTTAAATATAAACATTCACAATCACATTGTGTTAGATATTGAGTTTGGTCCATGGATGTTTCCGCACTATGTATATGATTTTCAACAAATTGAATCTGGATAGAGTGTGATTAGCAGCTCTGTTGCTGCTTTGGGATCTACCGGGCAGTAGAGGATCGTTCCCAACTACTGTCTAAAGCATAGTTATCAAATCGTGTATCGGAAGGCGTATCGTAAGATACAAATATTGTATCGTATCGTGTATCGTATCGTGTATCGTAAGATACGATGCAATTTTAAATAAATAATAAAAAAATATATATACCTTTGAAAAAAAGTCATACACTCATAAAAAATATAGCATTTCATTAATACTCCACCAACTATTCAAGTTATCAACATAATCCACTACTATTATAATGCAAAGTTCACAACCATAGTTCACTAATTCAAACTTTAAACACCAAAGAGACTTCTAATCCAAATTTCTAACATCCATTTTGAACTCAATCTTCAATTTCAATTGAAAATGCATCATCATCATCATCATTGTGATCGGATGCCAACAAGTCTTCACTTGTCTTTTTTTAAAAAAAAATCAGAGCACAAAACGACGTCGTTTTTAAAAAAAAAATAAAAAAATAAAAAAAATAAAAAATTGCACGTATCGTGCGTATCGTACCGATACGTATCGTATCGTAAAAACGTATCGTGTATCGGACGATACAACGCAAAAACGATACATAACTACGATCCGTATCGTTTTAGGGCTGTATCGTAACGTATCGTACGATACGTATCGCGTATCGTACGATACTAACAACTTTGGTCTAAAGACGTCCTCCACTGTTAGTCTTTTCATTAGCTTCTTAGTGCATATTTTTCAATAGTTTCTATTTACTAAATTTTCATTTTTGTCGAGTTATGTAGTATTTTTTTCTCTCACTTTGCTGTCTTTTAGTGTTCAAATATTAGGTACATGTAATTTAAAGACTTATGAAGTCACAATCTTCCTTTTGTATTGGGCAATTGCTTTATATTATTGAAGGAATTTTCTTTTTTAAATTTAGTTGATATATTTTTTTTGATTTCTTGGTTTGATGAACTTGGGATGTTATTGATATGTATGTAATCATGCCCATATTTAGAAAGTGGATTTGGGATTTTTTTTGTTCTAAACTTGATTATGTAGATATGTTGAATGGATAGTTTTTTGTTTTGCTATTGATGCTCTCTATGAGTATTTTTTTCAAGCTTTTTTACAACATTGGATGGTTTGAGTAAAAAATTCGAGTTTATGAAGATTTTTTGTATCTTATGGTTTGTATTTTGTTCCTTACTTGGTAATTGGTAGAATATCACTTAT